CCAAGATGATGGATACAACACTGAGCAGGGCGGATAAGTCCACTGCCCTCCCAGAGCTTAGTCTGTGAGCGAGGGGAGGTAGACAACTAACCATGACTGTGATCAGAATTGGGAGCAGGGAGATGACGATCTAGGGACACTGACAAAGAGTCCTTGGAGGTAAGATCATCAAGAGGTGGGGCATGGGTCATTTTCCAAGCAGGAGGAGCCCACATGACTGGACAGCAGAGTAAGGATTAGAGTAGTTTATGATGAAGGTGAAAAGGTTGGCAAGATGGACAGCCTTGTGTGTTGGCATACTCGTGTTGAGGATTTTGAACTTCATGGTAACTCAGAAGAGTAAAATGTGATATTCAAATATGTATTTTTAAGATCACTGTGGGGAGACTGGATTGAATGGGAGCAAGCGTGGGAGCAGAGGGACCAATCAGGAGGCCATGATGACTGGGACAAGGGCAGAGGATGGAGGACAGACAGACAGATTTGGAAATGTTTGGAGGTGTCTTGGTGATTAACTGTATACAAGGACTGGGAGGTGGAGAAGGTGGGTATTAAGTCGCCTGTGGGCCTTTTGCTAAGAATGGTCTATGCTGGTGGTGGGATATGGGGTATTTTGACTTTGAAGAGACTGTGTAATATCCAAGGCCTGCATGCAGTTTTGAGAATTTGGGCAGAGGTGGTAAATAAAACCATAGGAGTGGACAGGAATGCTGGAGGCAAGAGAACATAGAATGAAGAGGACCTAGGACAGAGTTCTCAAAACTCCTAACATGTAAAGGCCAGGAAGAAATCAAAGAATGGCTAGAAAGGTAGGAGGAAAAGTAGGTGGGAGACACCATGAGAAGAGTTTCTGAAAGAGGAAGTGGGCTGTGGCATCAGATGCTCTTGAGAGGCCAAAAAAATGTAGGTGTAGACAAGCTTGGAGAAGTCTGGTGTTATTTCACTATTAGCTGAATGGGTAAAGTACATCCTCAGTTAACGTCACCATTGGTAGGATGGAGAGTCCAGAAAAGGGCTTTTGCAAAATGAGAGGACTAGAGCAGGTTTGTCTGTCCCTCTGTCCTTCATATTTTTCTCTTATTTTAATAATAACATTTACAGTTAAAAACAAAACCAAATAATACAGAAGGACTGAAGTTGCCAAGCACCAACCTCTGTCCCTGTTCTTAACCCTCCTCACTGCAAGAGGCAACAGGGTATAGACGTTTCATCTACTGGTTGCTTCTGTATCTAAATAACATACCATTTCTCCAATTTTTAAATTTTAGATGTTAGCAATATATTACATATTGATTTTCCACCCTTACAACCTTGCCCCTCTCTTCCTGTGGTTGCTTTATGGTCCCAGTTCTTAGATCAATCAATAAAGTGCTCACATTATGTCTAAGTACTTTCGGTTTACTGTAGAGCTCAAGTAGTGTTCTGTGACATTTCCTACCTTGAACAGCTTCTGTTTTTTTCTGTAATGTCTAACTACTTTTGTTTCTTTCATCACAATCTCAATTTCTTTCAACATAGTTATTTCAGTCTCTCGTAATTCCAACCTTGGAATCATGCCTGGGTCTGTGTCTATTGACTATTTTTTTCTCTATGAGTAGATGCTAAGCATTGTGTACAAAAAACCAGAGGCTCTAGCTTCTTCCAAAGAAGCTTAAATTGTCTTCTGGCAGGTAAATCACATACATCCTGATGAGGTCTGGTTCTAGGCTTTCTTAGGCCTGGTCTATTTAACTGGCGGCCTAACTCCAACACTGTGGCACTCTGGGGGGTCTCAAGCACAGCCTCCTTCCACCACAGCAGGACTTGAACCCTAACCTGCCCCACCCTCACCCCCCACCCCGGCCCGGTCTACATGGCTCAGATCTCTGCTCAGCAGCTTAGCCTCCGTCATTGCTGAGGAGCCCTTGGAGGGGTATTGCAACGACAATGCACAGCTGAGGAGCTGGCAAATGCCTAGAGAAAAGATTGCAGGTAGATTCTGGGGCTCAAGTCCCAGCTGTCTGGTCCAACCTCTGTGAACTTAGCCCAGCTGAGGACTGCCATTTTGAGTCTACTCTGCCATGCTAAATGGGCAGATGTCCTCAAAGAAAAAGCAAGAGAAAATATTAAAGTCACCTCTGCACACTTTCCTTTTCTTGGGGTTCAGACCTGCCTCGAGTCTGGCCTATACTGTTTACTCCCCAAAGCCTTTCACGTCACTTTTATGTGTTTTGTCCAGTCGTTATAGAAGTGGCCTGTGCCAGGTTAGTCCAAAATGGGCTGTTCTTCATAGCCAGTTCCAGTAGCCTGGTTTCAACATCTGGGATATCTATGAAAAAACACTAGAGGTATTAAGTTCTTTTATTTCCTAGACTGTTTCTTGCAGGACCAGTTTCTCTATCTTATGGTCTCTTTTGGCAGGGTATTTTCAAGTGTCTGGGATTTTTGGTTATTTGTTTATAAAAATTGAGGCAGTTAAACAGCATACTAGAATCCTGGCGGATGTCAGCCAGATTTCATGGACAGACTGCCTCTGGGTTACCAAGCCAAGTTTGCCTTTAGGCTGAGGAACTAATGAAAGACAAAAGTAGGTCTTATATTTGCCTAGGCAGCAAATGCCCAGCTTCTAGACTGTTCTGGGTACAAATCCTGCTCCAGCCTCCTACCTGTTATACCTGGAGTTGCAGGCTTGGGCCTCTGGAGGCTCTGCAAGGCCAATGGCTTCCTTCTCAAATGATTACCAAACGGAAGCTTTCCCACCACCATCTTATTTAATCTTTAGCCTGGAAATATGTCAACATCTCAACTGCTGATGGAACCTCTTGTCCCATTATTCCTCTCCTATCACTAGATGTGAAAAACACAGTCGGTGAAGCTGCAGTCATGAACTGTAGGCCCTCCTCCATCCTGGCCCTGTGAGGACTTTCAGCTGTACCCCATCTTACCCTTTTATCTCGCTCTCATGTTTCATTCCCTTTTCCCCTGCTCTCCAACTTAAGACAACAGCTTCCCTTGCACACACTGAGAGTTGTAGCTTCTACTAAGTCTTCTAGTGCCTAGAGCCCCCCACCCCCCAACCAAGACAGGGTTATGCATAGTCCCACAGGGGATGTGAGAGAGGTGAAAACAGAAAGATACAAAAGATCAAGGACCCTTCCAGAGGGCTTCCTTGCCCCAGTGTAAACAGCTCAGGTGTACTGGGCTGGCCCAGCCTTAAGTCATAAAGCTCAAGTTCTAGGCTTGCCCTGGAAAGCCAAGCAAGGTAGGGCTATCAAAAATCAGGTGACAACCTTCTGGGGAAGACAGTAAGAGCAGCGAAGAAGAAACCAAATGCTCATTATCAACAAGAAATTAATTTTATTTTTAAATCCAAGGGACCAGAACAAATGAGGAAACTCCTACCCTTGGCTGGCAAACTTAGGTGGTGGCCAAGAAGGTTGGGGAGAGGACAGCAACAGGGTGGGTAGGAACACGTCCAAACCGGTGCGAGGCTCTCTTCACTCAGGCGCAGCCTCCATCAGATACCCGTTCTCCGGAGCGAGATAGCCGTCCCCTCCCTCAGGCTCCATGTACATGTCTCGGCCGTCGTTGCCCAGACCTTCCAGCCCGTTGTCCTGGCCGCCGCCGCCACCCCCACCTCGGGCCTCATCCCTACCCCGTTCACCACCCCGCTCCCCCCGCTTGTGCTCCCGATCCCGGTCTCGATCGCGGTCCCGGCGCCGCTCCCGCTCGCTCCGGTGACTCCGACGTCGTTCCCGATCACGATCCCGGCCCTTCTCCTCTGGGCCATCGGGGCCATCAGGACCCAG